TATATATTTTAAAGGATGTGATAGAGACAACAGCCAATTATTTCCACTCTGTAAATTTCCAATTAAAAATCTGTTTTCATATCAATGGCAAACTGGGAAAAAAAATGGGACAATATTGTCTGGAAGTTTTGATTTTACTCTAATGGAGTGAAAAGAATGAGAAAACGTTTATACAAAATATCAACTCAACTGATTTCTGATAACTGAGCTGCAGCATACCATTTTAAACCTAGAACAAAGTAGTAAAATCCAGAGTGTATTTCCTATATCAGTTCATGTGTTTAATAATGTTCTTTCCTTCTCCTGTCGCTGATTTGCGTTCTTACAAAACAGTTAAAACTGGAGAAAAAGAAAAGCACCAAAGAAATCCTCATGCATGCTCAATTTTACATGACCAGTAAACTTCTATTAGGTAATCTTGTTTAAAAAAAAATGCACAAATCAAAAGGAATGCAAATAACTTCAGCAGCTTTTGAATTAAAAACCTGGTAGGTGTGGAACAATGAAGAGGCTGTGAAGCACTTGGAAAACCTGCGATTGTCTCCTCTGGAACCTTGAAGGAGTTTTAAAGAAAACTGGAGGCATTCCAAATGTTCCATTTCTCTTCATCCTGTTATGTTCCACCTGTTTTCTCTTGCCGTGGAAGCCCCACGAACTTCTGATTTAAAATGAGGTACAGGAGTTTAAGAGCAGTCCTGATCTGACACTACCCATAATGGTCCCCTCCCCGTTCTCCTCTGCTTCTCCCTCCATCCCTCTGAGAGTGAAGTACATGGCGAAGCTTTCAGGTGGAGGACTAGCGCTTTGCTTTGGCTTCTTCCACTTCTTTCTCTGATGAAAAATGACAAAAAAGAAAACAGTGCAAAGCTTTGAGTTTCAAAGTGCTAAACATTTCCATAAAACCCATCCAAACAATCTGAGTCATGAAGTCTCCTGCTGGTTATTGTAATTATGAGAACGGCACACTAAAGCATCAAGCCTTGCAAACATCTGACATCCTGGCGCTTTCTTAGAAGTTCCTGCCCTGCCTCATTTAAGAAAAATGCATTTGTATTCTCTGGCAGTACAACACTTTGTCTACACAGAACGTTTTTTTTCCCCCTGTACAAACAAATCTCATATCCTCTTACAGTCCCAAGCCAGAGAGGGTATGTTGAATTATGTTCTGGAGCTTTTGTGTTGCAGCTCAACTCACTGAGGATGCAAAGTGCTCCATTACTCACAATATAAAAGCCACAGAAACAAGCATGATGCAGTCACTCTGCTCCAGACAGATAGATTGTTATCTACAAACTTTTAGAGATGTTACAGAGATGTAGTTTAAAATAAATCTTGGATAAATCTGTGGTTCTGTGCACTCGTGCACATTTTCAGAAACGACATATTTTTTAAAGCAGCTATTTAAATGAGCAGCAAGATGTATACTTTCTCCACACTGCACAATTTTCACTATTCTCACCTTTCCTGAGTTCGTCTCGCTTCTTGGCAGCCTCCTCCCTCTGTTTCTTGATGATTGCCAGTCTGGCGAGATCAGCTCTGGCCTGCTCAGTCTTACCCTCAAGATGAAGTTTCATGTAGCGCTCTTTTGATTTCTGCTTTTCTATCTCTTCCCTGAAAAAGATACATTAAGATAGTAATATTTAGTCCCCTTGAAAAGGTATGAAGCACAAACCAAAACATCTTTTGTTTGACACCCACCTCTCCCTGCGAGAAAGCTCTCTGGGAGCGCTGACGTCTACTTCAGCTACCTTTTTGCTCTTCTGAGCGACACGATTGGGATTCTCAATCTCAATAAGCCCCTCCACTCCACTCCTCTTTCTAACCTACACAAAGAAAGAAAAACCTTTGTAACACCAATCACTATGACAGGGCTTGCATCAAATTCTCTACACAAACTACCTTTAAGAACCGTGTACTGCTGTAGTTGTAATGAATCATTTGGGTGTAGTTGTTTTCCTATAAAGACATTTCTTCGTCCATCATGTTATTTATGGTGTGGTGCCAAATGTATACAACATATCTGTGTGTGACTGTTGGTCAGTTCAGATCTGTGCCCTGTTGAAACACGCTCAGACTAAGGAAAAGGAATATTTGTCTAAACGGTGCTGTTGACAGTAAGCATTCAGTGAAAAACAAAAAAGATGCATTTTCAGGTTCTCACACAAACACCCACTGACAAATTAATAACACATTCACCTCAGACTCGTCGTCGCTGCTGCTCTCCTCCTCAGACTCTGAAGAGCCCTCTTTCTCTGCACCACCATTTTCTTCCTGTTAAAATACACATACAGTCATACTTAATGTCTTTTAAGGTAATCAAATATTTTTTATAAAAAACAAACAAACAAAAAACCCCAACAATTTTCACTCACCATCTCTCGCTGGGCTCTCATCTGACGATCAATCTCTTCAGGGTTGCTGAACTGCTTCCCGCGGCCCTTGTGGCCCTTTTTCCCTGCAAGACAATTTTTAAGCTGTCAGTAGCAAAAAGACTGCATCTATTAGCAACATATGTCTACTCTCCTCCATTAAACAAGTCGTTTGAATAAGTGACAAAAGCGTGCTCCCACTGAAAATGCTGCATCCAGATGAACAGAATTAACATTCTGAGAATACAATCAGCTATTTGGGGCAGGGGTAATAACTTATAAGTAACCTGCAAAGTTAATCACTGGGTAGACACAACTATGAAAATACTGGTTCTCTCTCACCATGTAGCCCTATGTTTGAGAACAAGTGCCCAGAGCTATCTTTGGCTGATGACACAATTCACAACCTGACTTCAGAAATCCACACAGCCTGCTGCGTGAAGAGAAGATACCGTGAGCGCCGATGAGTCACACTGACGTTTATAGAGGGCCAGCTCCCCTCACCGGCAAATCTAACAGCCGACGACTTAGAAGGATGTACCGACAAAGAAAAAAAACCCCGAATAGTTTGACCATATATTTGTGATGGTAAACTGGTACGAAGACAACCTCCAAATAGAAATTTCAATAACTGATTATGTATGTACACTGACCCGGATGCTTTCTTCTCTGCGCATGGTATTAGCGGTTGAAAGCAAGCAACCAAAAAACAAAACAAAAAAAGACTATTGAGGTTTAAGTTAACACCAAGTCGTCATCTGAGCTCACGTGAGAACAAATAAATAATTGGATATCGGTACGTCTCTGGTGCCTTTAATAAACCGTTCTTACCGGCACATTACATTATGCTAACTATGTAGCATGCTAAACATGCTAAGCATGTGTGAATTCAAAGGGCTAATGATCCGCTAGCTAAAATGTACTCGCAAAAACAGGCACATTATGTGAATTTTCGTTTTAATACTTACCACCACGAGGCATTGTTATAGGTGAGTTCTATAAAAGTCCACCACAACGTCAAAGAATAATACAACAGTTCACTCGAAACGCCGGTGATTTAAAGTGCTAGATGAAAAGAATAAAAAGTACTTCGTCTCTCCCGCTATTGGCAGACGCCTCTTTCGCTCGCGGAGACGTACGCATGCGTACTTGGGACTATGAGCTGCACTGCGCATTTGATTGAAAGGTGCATTGACCAATTGGATAAAGAGACTTAAATCATTCATAAAACTGGCATGTAACGCTTATCTGTTTAATAATATAATAATGCATAAATAAATAAAATCATAATCATATATTTGATTATTTGAATTTTATACAGTGCTCAATAAACACTTATGACTAACTGAACAACATAATTCATGCATAAATCAGGCTTTATTGGTCGGTTGGGAAGGAGAAGCTGACATTCAAGATACAGATACTGCCTCAGAGTTTGTGCAGGTTTATGCACTACTAAAACTAATAAAAGAATTAAATCTAACACCTCCGGTTTCCCTTTTCCTTTCACGGGTTTGAGCCTGTTTCAAAAGCATGTTTTTATTCTGTTTGCTAGTTAAATAAAAAAAAAAAAACAATGTACAAAAAATGAAGCCCTGTATGCTATGTATTAAAAATACTTATAAATAATTCTGACCACCCAAAAGTTACTCAGTAAGTATATGGAAGGCATACTGTATATGAGGGTTTTGCTCTATTTGGATGTGGAGCTGAATGAAAAGCTGTAATAGTGAATGAAGCCTTACTTTTCTTAATTTTTTCTTTCTAATGTGTTACTGTATATTTTTAGAGCTTCTATGAATCCAACAATTCACAAATGTTATTTTCTAAAAACCGAAAGTCAAACAAAAAGAAATGCCTTTTGTCAATGGAGTTTACTTTTAATCCAAAGAGAAAATAGAAAAAAAAAATTAAATTAAAAAGCAGGTTTTACATCACATACAGATGTACAAAGTGTAGAAAATTGGCTGTATTGAACAAAGAAGGTTTTTAAGGTGAAATAATTCAACAAATTAAAAACAGAAAACATACAGTAAGTGGAAAATAAAGAGTAAAATGTAACACACAAGAATCCTCATTGTGAGGAAAATGGATGATATAATTACTTTTGTCCTGTTATCTATCGATACAAAAATATTTACTTGGAAGAAAAAGCTTTATTCAATGGAGGCACTAGATCAGATCTGTCATTTTTTCCTTCGATGTTGAGTCTTGACTTCTTCCACTTCTTTCTCCATCAGGTGATACTCTACGGTAGTCTCCGTTAACTTGAAGGAAAAGATTAAAGATCACAATTTTACTCATTCTGCGACAAACCGGGTTATCATCATCATTATCGTCATCATCATCACCTTTATTTATAAAGCACTTTAAAACAACCACAGCTGAAACAAAGTGCTCTACATAGGAACTATATAATAAAAGTTCATAAGATATAAATAAAAGCCAAGTAAAAGAAAAAGTAAGGGTTACATAAGTGAATGAACTGGTAATTACATTTATAACTAAATATAATATGCAGCCTATAAAAAAAGCAGTATTATGCAGTTATAACAGCTTTACAGAGGAGGCAAAAAAACTTTCCTACCTCAGAGCCTAGTATTGCATCCATAATATTACTCACAATGTAATGACAATTGATCTTACCATATCCAGGAGAAGTTCAATCTTTAGTTTTAATACGTTATTCTCTTCCTCCAGCTGGATATTCTTTTTCTTAAGCTGCTGAACTTCCCTACTAGACACATTTCCACCAGATTCTGGTTTCACAAAGGAGAAAAAAAACAGAGTTTATGTTGTGTTGGCCACAAGGAACCAGACGTTGATAATAACACACACACACACACACAAAGAGAGAGAGAACTAAAAGGTAATTATTCAGAAAACCCATTACCTGTAATCCACTGTCCCTCTTCAAATTTCAAGACCTGACCTCCAATGTTCATCACAGGAGGGCCATACTCAAGGCCCAGCTCTATTTCTCGAGTTGAACGATCCAACTAAAAAAAAGATAAAAGGGTATAAATAACGGTTAATGCTATCTCTCAGGATGTTATGCAGATTAACACACTCTCTCTCTCTCTCTCTCTCCCCCCCCCCAAACGTGCTGTACAACTGTGTTTCCAGTGTGTGAATGATGCTAAAATTAATTAGCTCACCGTGTGGAGGCTGGACAAGGAGGCGGATTTACGTGGAGGAACCTTTTTAGGACTAAATGGGTTTCCAAACAGAGGCATCCTCAGAGATTTTTTAAGGTCCTAGATCAGAGACGGCACCCGAATGAGAATTACAGTTTTTAAGATAACGCTAGCTTCACCTAGCTTCTCACTGTGTTTACCATCGTTAGCGGTGCACGACCAAATCAATGCTAGGTGGCTAGCTGCGTGAATCACTTATAACTCACAATTTAATGAAATTATCCCCTGCCTCTCAGAGTATTTAGGTAATGCTGTTTCAATTTAAATATACAACTAACATATTTACCTCCATACAGGGTATTTATTTAAGTTGGCCTGTATCCGTTTCTCGCAGAACATGCTTGGCACTGCGCAAGTGCGAATTTTCCATTTGTCCAAAGTGGGCAATCCTGAAACATTCCACGACTTTCGCACAAACTATTCGGGAAAAAATGTCCACCATAATACCCTTAAAGAAACTAAAATTTAATCCATCGTCTTACAGCTTTTTTTTTTTTTTTTGGGGGGGGGGGGGGGGGTATCGTATTCACATTTTAATAGCTACTAGTTAGAATTTCATAAGATCTTCCTGTTTATGAATGATAATGGAACAACCCGTGTAACGGAACGTCACCATGGTGATCTTTTACCGTCTTTGGGGTACGACGCTTTAATATTTTATTCGGATGAGCTCATATAATTAAAAAAATAACTCCATACATTAAATTGACTATTATGAACAGCACAATGCAGATAGTGATAATGTACAAAAAGTACAGATAATGAAACACTATTTCAGTAGGTTATATAATATACTGGCCCCGCCTCGCTTTGTACACGGCCCCAGTGGCCTAATGGATAAGGCACTGGCCTCCTAAGCCAGGGATTGTGGGTTCGAGTCCCATCTGGGGTGTTCTTCTTTTCGCTATCGTAACAAGCACCTTAGACACAGTTTAAGTGCTTCGTTGTCTGTAGAAGAAAATCTTCATATATAAATCCTAATACGTTTGAAGAATATGTGTGTCTAACTAGGCGAGAGGCAGGCAGAGCACAGACTTCCACGGCTGACATGGAAGAACGCAGAATGGCACTCTGCGTACTGCTGAGCACCTTAGCTGTATCTGTAAAATCCACGGATGTATTCAGAAGAGCGAACGTCAAGCTCCAAACTTACCGTGAGTAACCTTACTGTGGCGTGTCTGTACACGGCGGGAACCAATTTTATATCCCTATAAGTCCGCTAAACACAAAATAAATATCTTTACCGCTATAAAAGAAGGCGCATGGTTATATCTTATATAGCTTTTCTTTAATGGACAGTTACTTTGTTCTCTCCCGGCTAAATTTAACAGTTTTGAAATGTAACACGATTTGAACATGTAACTCGAAATACCATAGCCATTTAAATGCATTTAAACACGTTTTCTTTTTTAAAAATGTTTTTGTAACACTTATGTTAACAAATGTAAGTTGAAAAAAAATGCTTGTATATTCAAGCAACGACACGAACACAACGTTGTGTTAGTGTCCTTATAATATTAATATGCAAATAATATTAATTTGACAGAAAATAGCAACACATGAGAAAGCTGTTGTAATTATTCTATCGGTGTCATGACATTATCTTACATAATGTGTGTTATCTAACCTCAAGCATGTAACCCATCCTTCTACAATGGTAGAGCTCCAAGAGGCCACTGTGCACTGGGATGCTGCCCAGAAAAGTGTGATCCTGAAGGAGGGGTTGATGGAGACAGAGGGGGAAGCCTATGGGTACTTCAATGACACTCTGCTCCTCTCAGGATGGGGCATCCTGGAGATCAATGCAGGCTATGGAGGAATCACTCAGGAAGATGAGACCACTTTCTTCTTGGCTGGCTACCTGGAAGGTTACCTCACTGCTGGGTGAGCAGCACAGGCTAAGTGCAAGCATGAAAATACACTAAGCACTATAAATGCAATTTTCAAGTGAGCCAATCATGTGGCAGCAATGAAGTCTGACACCTAATGCAGATACAGGTCAACTTCAGTTAATATATTGTTACACTTTGATTACATTTCTTATTAGGTGTAGCTGCTAGCTCTGGCTGTAACATGTGGACTGCTTTTATGTGGGTTAATCCCTCACTGCTTATTCTCCTTCCATTGCAGACAGATGTTCAGTCATTACTCCAACATGTACCCTCAGCTGATCAAGGATGAAAAGGTTCTGGAGCCCTTGAAAAACTTTTTGAGGTAGTGTTAAATTATATCAAATCAAAGCCATGGATTAAGCTAAGAGTAATCCCATGTCTAATACTGGATTCATAAGCGTTTCTCTTTGTTTTCCATTGCCTTCAAGATGCTTTTTCAGAGGCTTGATTAACCAGTATTGTGCACAGAGTGTATATAAAAGATGGGTGTAGCCCTTCTCTGCTTTTAATAGCCTGCAGGAGGTGACTCTCCTGTTGGCACAAAGACTGTGTAGAAGTCTAGGGAAATTATCTTAATGCTCACTTAATCTGTGACCTCAGGAAACACTAAGTTTATGGGCTCCGTCTTAAGTCTTACTTGATAAATTCTGTTGATGTGGTCGTTGCTCTGAAAGTCAAATACTTTCTCATTCACAGCTGTGTAAATACAAAGCATGCAGTGGTATGCGTCAGTTCTCTGTCATATTCACACCTTACCCGCCACACCTGGGTTCAAGACAGCAAAACACCAAAGATCGCAAAGCTTAGTTGAAAACTTTACAAGACTCTTTTAGGCAGCAGACGTCTACATCCATCTTTTATATACATTCTATGATAGTGCCTCATAACTGTCAACTGTCTATACAGAATTGACTAATTATATTTATGCACCTATTGATTGTTAGAGTGATGTAAAACTGCACCATCAAGAGACAAATGTTGATTCTAAAATTTGAATAAACCCCAGCAAACAAGACCAGTGGGCCAGAGAGCAGGTGA